GGTCGTTATGAATTACCTCGGGGATTTATATCAGGATCTTCTGAACCAGTTAGTTGGTAAGCTAACTTCCACGTAACTTTGATTTTTAAATACGATATGCAGTAGATTCAGTACAGTGACTGATTTCACTATCTGTAATAACAACTTACTGATTCACTTACGTTAGAGAGAGCCCTGACAACTTCAATCCAGGAATTGTTTTTTGATGATCCTTTTGTTTCTTGACACAAATACTAGTTTATGTCATCTACCCAACAAAAACCGAGTACATGGCACATGTCAGCGGTTTAAATTTACACAGTGAAATTTCAGCATTGCTATACAATGTCTTATGCTTATTCTTCAGTAATTTGATCTAAATTTTAGTTACTTAGCTCTTATAAACTACGTTTGTTTTTGGTATGCAAGAGGTAACTTCTCTTTTCTATTTTTCTTGTTAAAGTAAATTCGAAGCAATTTACATTTATGTGACGTTTCACCTAAAAACTCACTTGTAATTTTGAAAACAGAATAATATCTATCATGGGATTGGTAAATCTAGTTTATTAAGTTAGTGGTTATTCTTTCAATCAGTGTGTAACGTGTGTTTACCATACTTTAGCTACTCAAGTTTTGGGAAGGGTATCACAACATCTATTCGCCTTGTTCATATGCCTTTCGTTGGGTTTTTTATATGTATATGTATTAGGTTGACAACTTTGTTCAGTGAGAAAGATTATGTTTAAGTAAATAACCATATCCATCTCACTCAGTTGTAGTGATACTTTTATTTTAACTCAGGGGAACACTCTTGTGTTTCCCTTTCAACTTTCATTATATTTCTACATACATTTCAGGTGGTCTGTGCCTGTACGATATCGTTCACCAGCTTATCAAACAATTCCTTCGCCATCATTGTTTGACCATCTTGGAGATTGGGCGGATTGTGGAACTAATTATCGTTTAGTAGCTATAGTAACTAATGATCTTAAGGTGTTTGGACCTGGTTGGTTGAATATTTTATCTCTAGCTTGTGGTTCCAATAATGGATTTGATGAGTTGGGTAATTCATCTAATCGAATTCCTTTAATACATTTATCTGAAATATCTCAAAAACTATCTGATTTATTTCCATCTGTAAGGTGTAGATCTAAAGCAAGTGAGAAAAAAGTGAATTTTGTCCTAGTAGACAAGAACCATGTAAGTTCTGAAAATAAATTTTTTTGATAACATTTTCTCAACTTTGTTCTCCTCACTATTTTTATTTGGTATATATATTTCAGTAAAATATATAACTGCTCGAATGCTTTAACTAGTAATAATCTTGATAAATCACGATGTATTTCACTTACTGAAAACAAATTTGTATATTCACCTTTGAGTCACGCTTCACTTGAGAACTAAAAATCCTATATAACTGATTAAACTGAAGTACGTTTAGCGGGATCCATATCTGAGGTGACCTACTGGTTAAAAGCTGATTTCTTTAACAACTAGTCCTCCATATTTTTTGGTAAATACTTAAACTAGTGCGATGTGTTTTTTTTGTTTGTCATCGAAACATAAGACAATAGCGTAAAATGTATAATAGAATTTCACACATTACACGAATGGTTCGCTTTAAGTAAGTAGTTGGATTGATTTTTTTCAATAACCATCACTACAAGTAAAGTTATGTAATGTTTTGAGCCTTCCTCAGGTATTCTTAGATAATCTAGAGATTACTTTTGTACTCCCAAATATAAACAGTACAAACGGATACCATTCTAATGCTATTACATAGCAGGTGCATAATACATCTAAATAAATTTCCGGATGCCGATTATAAATTGGGAAGATGAGTGACTTTCACACCATGGTTGTAACACTGACAGCAGAACTTACATACGAATAACTGTCTTTTTAGAAGTTATTTTGGCCACCGAAGTAATGGGATTTAAACTTCAGGAGGTTTTTAACAACTATCTACTATCAGTCTTTAGTTGATTGTTTGTGTTCGCTAAATCAACATAATGCTAAATTGGTTCTTTGAAAAGAATCGTTCCATTTTCGTCAGCTGCAGATTATCTTTTCGTACAAACAACCGTTGTTTGGCCTTTCCAAAAATTTCATTCATAAGTTCGAATGTCATACTGTGATGAACGAGAACCTATATGGGGACAACCAATTTATTGTTTAATACAAAATTCTTTCGTAAAATATGGGAACCATGCATTCTATAATTCATTTGCAAATCCTATATAAATTGTCTCAAACTTCATCGTTCCTTCATTACAATTATAATTACTTACTGTTCCCGTTCTCTTCGATTCGATCTTTCTGATCCTCTTCTGTCAGGCATTCTACTTTTGTGTGGTATTATATACTACTTAAGTCGACATAAGTAGCATACACCACAATACTTTCTCGCAATTTGAAGACAATTGGGAATTTATTGATCACAATACGCACATTTCTTATTTTATGTGTATTGGTGGTTCGAATCTTTCCATCAATGTTAAGGACTGCAGTTGACCAGTTTTTTTGTCATATGTCCATCCTGTGCGGATTCCCTCGATGTTGCCAATAGGTTAAGGAGACATAAAATGCTAGCTAGCATTGCGCATTCCGCCATATTTGTGACTTGTCAATCAGATGTATCTTCTTCCCGGAGTTGACTTTTGATCACGAGATTCGGACCCAGTACCGTTACTCTGAATGTTATCGCGTTATACACTTAACTACCAGGTCATTCTAGAACGAAACGCGCACTCTGCATTCCACTGCTAGCTACCATTTACCTCTACTTAAAAGTTCATTTCTTATTTTTCACATATTATTCATCATAAATTTTTTTCCAGATCAATCAGTCTGCGTTCGCGTTTATGAAAACATTACCTATTGAAATGGTTACTTGTGACTATTTCATTCATTCCCTTATCTGTGGACATTTAGTTAACCCAAAATCTTCTCCGTATTTTTCACCGATAGTATGAGCATCTATTTAAATTATAATATGTGTAACAATTAAATTTCATAATTCTCCTCTTTTATTACTTCCTTTCTCTTCAAAAGCACTCGCTAATCATCCAGTTAAAATCAATTTTATTGGTGTTACAATTAATTATCATTAATTTTGTTCAGATTTTATTGAATTGTTTCATTTTTAGTCACTTCAATTTCAGAGTTTAACATGTTACATAATTTAACCATATAAAAGTATATTGGTTGTGGTTATGAATTTTTATTCAAAACACTTTCAGATGTCACAACAAAAGTAAATTTAACTACCCACTTATTTTAACCTTTTGTTAAATCTGAACACACGTCTATTCGCGATAAATCACGTAAATTAAAACAAATAAACAGTGTACACACGCATTAATCCACCTTTTTTGAAGTAAACACAATAGACTTTAATTTTTGTTCCCTCTTTATTTGATCTTATCAAAATAGATAGTGTGTTATACTTGATTCATTGTAATCACAATATACCATTTATCCAAAGATTTACTGTAATACGAAATTGCTAAAGGTTTTCTAGAACATATTTTTTTTAATCTTTTGTCATAGTTTTATAATCCCGTGACAATGATGATGATATTCTCCTGTGCAGTTTAATTCAGGTCATTTATAATGATATTTAAATTACAATTTATTGCTACAAAAAGAATAGTAAATTGTTTTAATTGTATATATCCGTCCCTTTCCTGGTTTTTCCAGGGGGCTCACTGGTCATCCCTAATTGGATAAGTACTTTGAAATCTGGCACTGTTTTCGTGAACAACAGACGTTAAAGAACAAAGTGATAGGGTGTGCCAATCAGACATGTAAATTCAAAGCTAACTTATTAGTCAGAGATTTTGACTTGTGTATGTTATTGGTCAAGATTTGGCATAATGATCCGAGTGAGATAAGTAAACACTATAAATTGAAAACCAGGCTTATCTTTCTGAGTTTCAAATCTATATTAATGAATAACTTTGTGCATAAATCGTAATTCGGGTCAGCCGATAAAAGTTTTCTGCTCATTCTTGGCTTTCTCAAGTAGTGTATAGGAAGCGTGTATGTTAGTATCAGACTCGAACGACTGCCTCATTTTGCTTCAAGTCTTATCTTTTTCTCTAAATAGTTAGAAACTTGCATATATTATTATTTCCTACCACTCATTTGATTACGACGACGATCACTTAAAACTAGTGATTAATGCTCTCTTGTTTTCCAGTATTACCACAATTAATGTCGATTCGTGTTGGGAACCATTCAAATTGTTTATTTACCAGTTTCACACTTGTCGATAAATGGAAAATATTCATTATCTCATAAATAAAAGTGGTTGTGTCGAAATTTATGAGTGAGTAGTGTTAATATTAAACTTGGGGTAGCAGGCGAACATAGTAAATTAGTTACCGAGGTTGTAAAAGTCATTGACCAAGAAGGTTCTGACATACGTTTCGTTTGTCCAACAATCACCGACAAAAGATGTTGGCTGATAAACTTTGAATTTATCGAAACTGATCATTGATCATGTTGCATTCATTTGCTAGCCATCTACCTACTTAGCCACCAACTAAAACTTATTTATCTTGTAAAATAATTACACCAGATGAACAACTATTATATTATTCTAGATTTAATGTGAGAAATCAAATAACGCCGGTGACAACTATGTTTAATTTATCTTATAGATATATTTTTAGTATCAGCAGGAGAGAAACACTTGTTTTCGGTTTCTTGACTGTTGCCTACATTCATCCGACACTCAACAATATTTACGCTTAAAACATTATCAATTTAACATTCCTTTGCAGTTAAAAAACTGTGACGACGGACCACCGGCGAACTCGAGGAAGCTGTAAGAGGCTCATAAGGAGCCGAAGACGTTCCATCCAATCACCTTTCGGAAGAATGTTCTAGAATTCCAACGTGTAGCTTCCCCATTGGATAATGCTAATAACCCCCTGTACGCGGATTGGAAGACTGTAATGATGATTTCGTTCTCACTAAAAACTATAAATACCCGACAATTTTGTACTATGTTTGACACTGGTTGGAATAATATTCCTTTCGTTAGTCTTCTGTCTTCTTATTGCGACTTGGAAGGGGTTGGTGTTCTAGTGCTCAGTTATACGCGGTTGTATCAAGAAAAATCAGCTTTTTCAAGATATAACATCTGGCGACGGGTTATTGTATCAATATGTCACTTACCTTGGAACAATTTGAAGCCTTATTGGAACGCCAAGAAAAGTTCCAGATGCGCATGTTAGAGATGCTAACGCAGAAAATGAACCTGGATCAAAAAGAAGTTACAGATGATCCCTTCAAATCTCATGTTGACCAGACTGTTAATTCTATCCTTGAATTTAATTTTGATGGTTCAGCTGGCATTACTTTTGAAACTTGGTTCAAGAAATATGAAGATTTGTTCAAGGTCGACCTCAAAAAACTTGATGACGCCGCTAAGGTCAGAATACTCTTGCGGAAACTTGGAACTGTTGAACATGAACGTTACAGTAACTTTATCCTTCCAAAGAATCCAAGAGATTTTTCTTTTGATGCAACGATTGAAATTTTGTCGCAAATTTTTGCTGAACAGTCATCTTTGTTTAACATTCGTTATCAATGTCTCAAGATGACAAAAGCAGGTGATGATGACTGGGTGAAACATGCGGGTTTAGTAAACCGTGAATGTGAGCGTTTCAAACTATCAGCAATGACAGAAGACCAGTTTAAGTGTCTCGTATTTGTGTGCAGCCTCCAATCTCCCGAAGATGCCGATATTAGAACTAGAATTTTGAGTAAAATTGAACAATGCCCGAATATGACACTACAAGAAGTAACCGCAGAGTGCCAGAGATTGGTGAACCTAAAGCATGATACTTCGATGGTCGAAAATAATGGCCAGTTGCCATACGTTCGTGCTGTAAGTGGAAAGAACGATTCTTGCTCAAGAAAGGCATCGCACACAGATAATCAGCCTTCATCTCCATGTTGGTCTTGTGGTGGTTGGCATTATAAAAGGTTCTGCCCATATAAAGAACATTGTTGTAGCAAGTGTCATCGCAAGGGACATAAAGAAAACTGCTGCAGAAAAAGAACCCATAAACGACATTCTTTGAAACCCTACTCGAGGAAATACAGATTTAGTGCTCGAACTAACAAAATATTGGTATCACATAATCGAGCACGAACTTGCCGCCAAAGAAAGTATGTAAACTTGGATATAAATAAAAAGCGTGCCCGCCTGCAACTCGACACCGCTTCTGACATCACACTTATTAGTCAGAGAACTTGGAATCTTATCGGTAAACCACAGGTGCTCCCAACAACCCAGTCAGCTCACAGCGCATCTGGAGGAAAACTAAATATTGTTGGAGAGGTTTGTTGTACAGTCTCGAAGGGAAATGCGGAAACGAATGCAACTTTATATCTTACACAGAATCCAGGACTAGATTTGCTAGGTCTAGACTTGATAGAAGCACTTCAATTAGCAAATCACCCCATTAACCACATATGCAGCGCAGTGAGAACCAGTAAACCGGTGGAAAAGGATCTGAAGAGTGTTGTACTGGAAAGACACAGTCAAGTGTTTACGGAAGAGTTGGGGGAATGCAAAAAGGTTAAAGCACTATTGATTCTTAAACCGGGAGTCACCCCAGTCTTCAGACCAAAACGTCCGGTACCCTATGCAGCACTACCTATTGTTGAACAAGAATTAGAGCGTCTGCAAAGAAGTGGAATAATCGAACCAGTAAACTTTTCTGATTGGGCAGCTCCAATAGTGATTGTTAAAAAGCCTAATGGAAGTATCCGGTTATGTGCAGATTATTCGACTGGATTAAATGAAGCGCTTGAAGCCCATCAATACCCATTGCCGGTACCAGAAGATTTATTTGCGAAACTGAATGGGGGTAAGTATTTTGCGAAATTAGACCTATCAGACGCTTATCTACAGATTCCGGTAGCGGATGAGTGTAAGCATTATTTGACAATAAACACTCACAAGGGATTGTTCCGATATAACCGACTTCCTTTTGGAGTAAAGACTGCCCCTTCAATCTTCCAACAAGTTATGGACACTATGTTACAAGACATTCCTGGTACCGCGGCTTATCTCGATGATATATTGATCATGGGTACAGACTATGCTGATTTAGAGAATAAGGTGGATACGGTTCTCAGACGCATAGCAGATTATGGATTAAGACTGCGTGCCGAAAAATGTGATTTTTACATGGAGCAAGTCCGGTATTTGGGATTCATAATTGATAAAAACGGGAGAAAACCTGATCCTGAAAATGTCGAAGCCATTAAGTCCATGCCTCCACCGACGGATGTGTCAACTTTACGTTCTTTCTTGGGGATGGTTAGTCATTATGGAGTTTTTCTGCCAGATCTGCATCGCCATCGTGCTCCTCTTAATTGCTTATTGAAAAAGGATACTAAATGGTTCTGGTCAACTGAATGCCAAGAAGCATTCCTAAAACTGAAGCAGTTTCTATCATCGAATCTTCTCCTTACACACTATGATCCCGATCTTCCAATTATAGTCGCAGCAGATGCGTCGAACTACGGAATTGGAGCAGTAATCTCACATGCCTACCCTGACGGTTCTGAGAAAGCAATCGCTCACGCTGCGAGATCTCTGACTATGACTGAAAGAAACTACAGTCAAATTGAAAAAGAAGCCCTCGCGATTATATTTGCTGTAAAAAAGTTCCACAAGATGTTGTTTGGTCGGCAGTTCACCTTACTTACAGACCATAAACCTTTACTGACAGTTTTTGGATCTAAAAAAGGCATCCCGGTATATACAGCAAACCGGCTACAGAGATGGGCTACCACACTGCTGGGTTATGATTTCAAGATAAATTATCAACCAACAACGGATTTCGGACAGGCAGATGCACTCTCAAGATTGATTGGTCTTCATGAAAAACAAGAAGAAGAGGTGCTTGTAGCTGCTATAGATGTCGAGGCCGAGGTTCACAAAATATTGTCAGACGCAGTTTCCGGACTCCCGGTCACATTTGAAGCCATTAAAGAGGCCAGCAAGAAGGATAATGTATTAAAGATTGTTCGCCATTGCATACTCAATAAATGGCCTTCATCTAGATTACACGGAGAACTCCTACAATACTTTCGTCGACGAGAGTCATTAACAGTTGTCGATTCATGTATAATGTTTGGCCATCGTATCGTTATCCCCAGAAATCTTCGACACCAAGTCATTAAACAGTTTCACAGCGGGCATCCAGGGATAAGTAAAATGAAGTCACTAGCTCGTAGCTATGCATACTGGCCGTCAATGGACCATGAGATAGAGCAAAAATGTCGCAGCTGTTGGTCCTGTCAAGAGGCTGCAAAGAATCCAACGAGAGCTGAGCCACAACCATGGCCTAAACCGGACGGGCCTTGGCAAAGAATACATGCTGATTTCGCCGGACCGATACAAGGCAGGAATTACTTAGTTGTTGTAGATACTTTCACAAAATGGCCGGAAGTATATGACATGCCGAATACGACTTCAGATAGTACCATAAGAAGATTGTCAGGATTGTTTGCCTGTTTTGGGGTTCCAGAGATCTTAGTGACTGACAATGGTACTCAGTTTATGTCATCTGCCTTCAAACGCTTCTGCAACGAGAATGGCATATTGCATCTACAATCTCCTCCATACCATCCTCAGTCGAATGGCCAGGCAGAACGATTCGTGGATACAATTAAAAGAGCTCTGGTCAAAGGGGGAGGTGAGGGTGTCCCGGAACAAGTGATTAATAAGTTCTTGATGTCTTACAGAGTTACCCCTAATCCGGCAGTACCAGAAGAAAAGTCTCCGGCCGAGTGTATGTTCGGAAGGAAAATCCGGACAGTTTTTAACAGTATGTTGCCGCCCAAAAAGACAAATAAACCCACGAATGAAAATCGTAAGGTCAATCGTAGCTTCCAGGTGGGTGAAAAGGTACTTGTCAGATCGTATCAAGGTAATAGGAAGTGGGAACCAGGTGTCATAGAACGTCGAATCGGAAATGTGCTGTACCTAGTCCGGAAAGATGTCGGGAAATGCATAAGACATATAAATCAAATGCAAAGAAATGATAGTACAGTGGTCCCAGAAAACCGGCTCCCATTTCAATTGCTCGTAGATTCGTTTCAGAAGAACCATCATGAGCGCAAATATCGAAAAGACAAACGACGCAGAGAGAAGGCTGTACAACCTTCGAGAGTAATGGACCGCAAGAGGAATGCGACACCCAAGCTTCAGGTGGATCCAAGAAAAAAATCTTACACAACGAACTTTAAAGGGGGGAGGTGTGACGACGGACCACCGGTGAACTCGAGGAAGCTGTAAGAGGCTCATAAGGAGCCGAAGACGTTCCATCCAATCACCTTTCGGAAGAATGTTCTAGAATTCCAACGTGTAGCTTCCCCATTGGATAATGCTAATAACCCCCTGTACGCAGATTGGAAGACTGTAATGATGATTTCGTTCTCACTAAAAACTATAAATACCCGACAATTTTGTACTATGTTTGACACTGGTTGGAATAATATTCCTTTCGTTAGTCTTCTGTCTTCTTATTGCGACTTGGAAGGGGTTGGTGTTCTAGTGCTCAGTTATACGCGGTTGTATCAAGAAAAATCAGCTTTTTCAAGATATAACAAAAACTTAAAATTCATTTTATGTTATAATATTACCAGTTTGGAGTGTTTTTTGTTAAACATCAATTCATTAAATATTGCCATCACTTATTCCAATTCCTGGTGTTAATTGTTGATTTATGCTTTGTTTTAATTCAGCATTTTCACTTTCTAACATCTCCACCTTTTGTTTTAATTCTGAAATTTCTACTTTCATTGCTTCGACATCTGAAGGATCTGGACTTTCTGCTTGTAGGTGCTTCTTCATAAATCTGTAAAGCAAAGGAATAGGAGACTCATCTTTATGATACGCGCATGTTTTGTATGTATTAGATAGTTGGAGATAATCTGTTATGTTATGTCTGACACTTATATGACTCCGGAACGCTTAACTGGTTAGTGCTTTGTACTGAGACCTCAAGCTCAAATATGCGTGGTGAAAAGCAAAGACTGGTAATAAGGATTTACTTGACTCCCAAAATAAATCGAAATGATAAATGAGTACGCCACTTTCTATACGATTCACTTAGTCATGTTTGTATGTTTTCAAATGAGGAATATTTAACACCACTTAATTAATAACCTACTGTGTGAGCATATATTGCCAACGTCATACAATTAAGCATCCCTTCTCAAAACATGATTAAATGTCACAGAATAATGGGAAAAAATGTATTTCATCTGCACTCCAATTGATTAATTCATTGTTTACCATATCACCTCTTCCATTAAATGTTGTGAGATCCTTCTTTGCTAACGTTGACGAAATATTGGTAGCCTTGACTTATTTAGTATATACTCCTGTTTTTATGGAAATCATTCTTCTGTTACGTCTACAGACTGCATCTCTACTGGTGAAACTGTATTTGTTGTCGTTTGTCTGCTAATTAGGGAAGTATGGAAAACATTTGAATTCTTTTTCTCTTAGTTCTTACCAACGAATCGAAGGAATTACTTCCAGATTTGGGCAACTACATGGTTTGTCGGCTGACATTATCTTGTACAGTCGAATCCATAGATTTGGTTTTTCATTAGACTATATAATACTACTCCTTTTATAATAACAAAACAAACTGTATTTTTGTACGCGGATAGTTCAACCAGTTAAATGATTTTTAGTTTTGAAGTTGTAATCTCAGTGAATTTGTATTGTTTTATGGTTTTACCTTACCTGGTTGTAAGAATTGACTTTCTCTCAGTTGCTGGTTATTATTTTAAACGTATGTCATTAAGTCTATTAATTACTAAGTGGTATGAACATTAAATAGCATATTTTGATATTTTAATCAATATTTAAGTTCATAATGAATTTTATCATGATAATTAAGTGTCCAACCGTAATGACTAGAAATCAAGCGCTCTAACTACTAAACCACCTTCCCAACATTTGTTTGTTACTTTTGACAGATCTTTCATGTATTACAACACCATGACTCCTAAAGATTTGATCTATATAATGTTCTATTGATTCCCCTTCATCAAATATTGTGCAGACCTTAGTGATAAATTATACTGGTATTTTACATATAGTCTACACTTCGAATCGCTAATAATAAGGTTCTTTCGTTCACTTAATTTATCTTGCTGCACATCTGCTGTTTGCCAAGTAATAAACACCTCATCCGGATATTTGAATTCACGTAACTTGACGGATAACATTCATGCTAGACATTACACAGTTAATGGAATATCTATCTCAATGTGTTTTTGATCCAGTCACTGTGAATAAACTGTACACTTATAACAAAGACACATTAATCATAAGCGAAATATAGCAATTATATATGGACTATCTTTTTATATACGTTTGTAAAACATAGTCTCTAATGTACGATGGACACCTCATTAGGAATATATTATTACGTTTCACAACATCACTTGATAACATCGTTTCATATGTCTCTTAATAATTTTTACTTTATTTTTCTACATTTGCCTGTTCCCAATCGACTAATTTCCTTCTAGTTCATTTCTGTCCTCTTTTTACTTTGATTTAATTCATTATGATGTTGAGCAATACAGTAGCGAAATACGGTATCATTTTACAGCGCATTCAATTTGTTATGTTAAGCCATCTTTCAAAAGCGTTGTTCTAAAACATGATCGCCTGACAAGCTTTTGATGTTACCTTCACCGCTTATTGAAACCAAAAACTCATTTTTCGTTTTGCGTGTTTTCAAAGATTGTTTATATTGATAGATAATTTTTCTTGGCCATATATTTGGTTCTCTCAGTTAACTGTGTCAAAACAAATTAGTGCATAAAGTAGCATACAACGAATATTACTGTGCGGCATATTGAACTATTTTCAACATTTAAAAGCCTTGAAGATTTATATCATAATACTAATTATTGGCTACGTATTGCATCAGTTCTTTCATATATGTTTATTATGGTAAATTTAGACACCATTTCTCTATTATATTTAATCCTGTTTTGTATGGCTTCAATATTTATTAACTTTGGAACTTACAGCGTCATGTGAAATACTATGGAATGGTAATTTTCCAAGGCTTTTCAACCGAATATATATTAATTTGATAAGGGGTCGCAAAGAGTATGTGAAAACATCTCAACATTTTCAGATTTATTGACAAAAAATACATTTATGAGTTTATTGGAAACTGAAAACCATTTATCCTGGATCGCAGCAACCAGTACACAAGTATAACTTGTTCAGCATACCGATTCTGCAAATCCTGAAAACGAGGTCGAATAGGTTGCTTGAGAAGAAATCTGTGAGCTGACTGGAACAATCAATCTTTTATCTTGCTTTATTTCAAAAATCATTTGGCTTTCAAGCCAACCAAATTGTTTAATAAATTAATTGGACACAAGCGAAAGGCGACAAATATTTAAGATGAAAAGGATGAGGTACGAACGGTACTTGTTAGAAAGAAAAAGCTATACAGAACTCAGTGTATAATTATATTTCTTAATCAATTTAGTTGATTTATCGATCTAGCGAATTGTATACACACAAAACTATTGATTAACTATTAGCTCAATCAATGAAAATTGATTGATTGACTAAACAATTAAAACGATATGTACTATATTACAGTCTGTTCGTAACAACGTAGAACTTTGTACACACGTACATTAGTTCGAGTCGCCACATCACATTATCACAGAGATCCAGTTGTCGATTCAAATCCCATAGTGGTAGAGGCGGTAAAAGTATAAGCAGTAATCGGAAAGATTAGAGTTTGAAGATGTTATTCAAGGAGTGTAGTCCAGTGAAATAAATTTTGAAAGGGAAGAAAGAGACAAGGGGGATTCAGGAGATTAGAATTTGGGAGAACACAAAGAGTGGATGCACCTGCGCCACTGCAAACGATTTTGAGCCATGTTATTCAGAGTATTTAACCGTCGGTTGCTATCATCTCCGGGTCCGCAACCAGGTAGTTTACATCTACCAACATGGATCAGTCCACTTGTCAGTGACTTCATGGACTTGTGTCGTGTTTTGGTCCGGCCACACCTAGCTTCCATCCTACTCCTATACCATTGAACATCGCACGTCGAGGCAGTCAGTGGTTGGCAACCTTACTGTGGTCATTCACTTGACCTCACCTCGGCAAAACGGAGAGCCAACGAGATACACCCTCTGTGTATCTGGTGACCCGACGGCCAGCTCTCGTATACTGGAAGGAGTAGGGATAGCACTAAACAGGAGGGTGGAACAAGCACTGTTAGAGTAGATCCCCGTTAACAGTCGTTTATGTGCTGTTCGGCTAAACGGCTCCGTAAGAACCCGGAAGGATAGGGACACACGTCGTTACCTTTTTTTCGGTTCTGTCTACGCTCCCACCGACTGCAGCTCGGATGAAGTGAAAGATGAATTTTATAGAAAGCTATCTGAACTTCTTCAGAAAGCTAAACATTCAGACATAGTACTCGTAGCAGGTGACTTTAATGGAGACTTTAATGCCCAGATAGGTAGTTTAAACCAAACAGAAAGGCATGTAGTTGGATATTTTAGTATTCCGGCACAACAAACAGATAATGGTGGTCGTCTGCTGCAACTGTCCTCAGACAATCGTTTATTTTTAACAAACACAAGTTTCAAGCATAAGGAAAGACTTCATCTAACATGGCGACCCTCTACACCAAACCAACGATGGACTCAAATAGACCATATTGCCATCAGTCATCGTTGGAGAGGGTCGGTAGAAGATTGTCGCTCATTCTGGAGTACCTGCTTGAACTCCGACCACGCCCTAGTACGGGCACGCATCTGCTTGCGCCTCACTAGACGCAAAAAAGCCACAGTAAAAAGACCCATTAGAAGTGAATTGAGTAGCGAGAAAACCAAAAGTAGGTTCCAGGAACAACTGCGGTAACACTTAGGTAGTTCTGAAAACCAGGCTAACCCAGATGTTGCTTCGAAAGATATACAAACAGCTGTGGAAACAGCAGTGACATCTATCAGTGATTTAAATCACAGGGTTACAAAGAACCAATGGATTTTTTCAAGGTCTATTGTACTGATGGATTCTCGTAAACTCATCTCATCAGGCTCTGAACACGATGAAGAGCGACAACAAATCAGATCTAGGTTAACCAAAAGTCTAAGGAACGACCGTGAGCAATGGTGGGCAACGAAAGCAAAAGAGATGGAAAAGGCGGCGGCTATAGGGAACACAAGACAGCTCTACAGACTAATAAAAGAAACTGGAATTATTAAGTCAAGTGTAAGTGAGATTATATCGGAAAAAGATGATACTCTCATCTGCTCCCAGTCCAGACGTTTAGAACGATGGGCGGAACATTTTAAGGAGCAGTTCAGCTGGCCTCCAGCTACTCTACAACTACCCTCCATTCCCAGACAGTGTGAATGGAATATTGAAGTAGGTCCCCCAACTCTAGTTGAAGTTCAAAAGGCTATAGTTAATCTGAAACGAGGAAGGGCAACTGGTCTAGATGGACTGGCTCCAGGTCTTTAAGGATGGTGGTCCAATTTTAGCGACAATGTTGACTAATATTTTAGCTGGAATCTGGGAGTTAGACGTTATCCCATCTGGCTGGTCACAATCACTTATCGTCTCAATATATCAGAGAGGGTTAAAATCATCCTGTGACAACCATAGAGGGATTAGTTTAACTAATATAGTATCTAAAATACTAGCCTCGATAATTATCAGACGCATAACTAAGACCCGTGAACTGCAAACACGAGAGAAACAAGCTGGTTTCAGACCTGGTCGTAGCTGCATCGACCACATATTCACCATTCGTCAGGTTCTAGAACACAGGCATGCTTATCGGC